TTACCAACGACAAATAATTTATAAAGAATTTTTTTTTTTTCGCACACATAAACAAATAATTGAAAGCAAAAAATATATATAGACATTCAAACACGAAACAACAAATCTACTCACACATACATACACATATAAAAAAAAAAGCGAGAGAGAAATAGGAAGACAGAGAAAGAAACGAGAAAGTATACAACTCGACTGTTACTTGCCCCAAAAAAACAGAGGACATGATATCTTAATCTCGTTTTTTAATTATATTATCTGACCAATTTGAAAAATTTTCATTTACAAAAATGTTTTTCAACTCTTTTAATGCAACGTTTACATCGTACTTCGCAACACCAATGAAATTGACATTCACAATCTTCTTCAATTGTACTTATTATTGTTTCATAACCTCTGTCACAACATAATACTGAACAAGAACCAGGTTCATTTATTGTTAAATTACATTCACGTCCTTGTGTACCTAATGAACCAAGACGAAGGTTTTTCTCACAAAATGATGGTGAATTATGAATATAAATAAGATCTGTTGTATTGAATAATTTCATTAAAGTTTTACGTGGTTTAAGTAAACCTAAACGACGATTAAGTCGTACTTGTGTTGCACTTGCATATTTAGTACGTAATTCTGAACCAATAAGACGAAAATCGGGTAATGTACGCCAACAAACACGTAATGTACATGAACCACTAACACCATGACATTTACATGTTAATTGAACATTTCGTTCAACAGCCTAGATTAAAAAAAAACACAAATCTTCTGTTGTTGTTTTTTCAAAGAGAAAATTTTATAATTCTTACTTGTCTACCGGCTTCATTATTATGTAAATTAACCATGCGTACAATACGACGTCGACTAACGAATGATTCTTGTTCATCAATAAATGATACACTAACATTTCGACCAAATTTTAAATCATCTGAACAACCACCCCATTCAAATCCATCATTTGTTTGTGATATAGGTGTTGATGAAAATAATGAAATACTCATTGATGGTGTTGAACTAATTGGATATTTTAACATAGGTCGTGTACGTATTGATGATAATGATAATGATGATGATGATGATGATAAGAATGATGGTTGACTTTTATCACAACCACATTCAGTTAATTCACCTTTTGCACAAGCTTTTGCAATACTATGCATAACTGAAGCCGATGTAAGTGCATAGATAAAAGCTGTTTCTGGTGTTTCTAAAACAAGAAAAATCATTGTGAGAATGTGAAAGGTGACACTTGACGATGGCGTCAGTTTAATTGTCCTTCTTGCTTGATTACATCCAATTATAATAGAATAAGAAAGCTTATTTTTCTCCAGGTGGTCTAATTATTTTTATCTTCAATATACAATCATATATTTAATGATTGACATATTGTGTATAGAAGATAAATATAAAAAGATCACGGTTATTGATATATATATATGAAAAAAAAGAAAAACTTACTTCTTAAAACAAGTTTTCCAAAAACATCTGATTGATTAAATATTGAACAATTCCAACGTTGATTACGAAATTGATATTGACATTCTTCAATAGCTTGACGTAATGAACGACTTATAATTGAAAATATTTTTGGATTTACTTGACAATAATAACGTTGGTCAGGAGTTAAAAATGTTAATGAAGTACAAAATGGTTCTTGATTCTTTTGAGTTGATGACCATAATTGAAATGAAGGTAAACCAAGAGACCTATAATAAAACAAAAAAAAGAAAGAAGAAGATAGACATCATGCCTTAAAGGGTATAATTATGTTTAAGTATGAAAGAAAAATGATATTAATATTTATATCTCTTCTATTCAATACAAAAAAATCTCGGGTGTTGGTTTTTTCTTCTTCTTCTCTTTCACTTTAATCATTATCAATATATTCTAAAATAAAAATTTCGATTATTTACCACCAAAATGCAGATGTTGTTTGAATAATAATAATAAAAATAATAAAAAATTGTTGTTGTTGTTGGAGAAGATACATATTATGTGACGATTGTATAAGTGATTATATTTGAATTATGAATATAAGTATGTTTATATATATATGTTTAAGAGAATAAAAACGAATACAGAGACGAGACAAATTGACGCTTTACTACTATTACGATTACTCTCGTCTTGTGTTTGTTGCTGTCGACAATACAATAATGATGACAAGCAGACTTGTGTGCAATGTTTATGTATGTATGTATCGATCAAAACTGTGGTGTGACGAGAAGAAGGAGAAGTAGAAGAAGAAGAAGAAGAAGCGAACATTTCTCTCCTTTTCTCTACCCTTTACGAAAGGAGAGAGAGAGAGAGAGAGAGAGAGGAAGCCAGTCTATGGACAGATATTTTTCTCTCTTTCACGACGAAAAAAAAAAAAAGGAAAAAGAAAAAGAGCAAAGAGCGAGAGCGAGAGAGCGAGCGTGAGCAAGGTGAAAGTGATATAGCCTCAATTAGAGGTATGTACGTTAAATCGATAAAGAAAACTGTTGATTGGCTTTTAAGAAATTTAGTTTTGTAATGATGTAGTCAACAGTAAAAGAAAATCACGAGGAAATGCAATGATGGAGTGAATATCCGGTGTCCGATTGTACTTTAATACGCAAGTTTTTACTGATTGTAAAGCACTTGAAACTGTTTGCTTACTGATCGCATATTCATATTTCCGATTCTCTATTTCTTCTGTCAAAATTCACTGAACTGTCAAGAGCAACTGAGTGAAATTGAGGCAAGAGTAGAATGAATATTGTAATATAACTGAAAATGCATAAAAAAAAAAAAAACTTGAATTCCTGATTTTCATTATTATTAGCAGCAAGAAAAAAAAAAAAAGTTTATTTATTTTGCTTTCATTTATTTTTTGTAAATTGTTCATTGAACAATTTTTATCTTTGTTTTTCGTTTGATCGGTACTCAAGTTATCTTGTTAATGGTCATCCTATATGAGCATCCCTACGTGTGTATATATATGTCATCAAAGGCAATGTATTGAAAGAAAAGAGTCTCATGCTGTCGAGCTATTAAATCGCTCTATTGGATGAAGCATATTATGTCAAAATTGTATGCGAAATGTGCACATGTAAGCATGCCTGTTCAACATCACCATAATCATAATCATCATCATCATCATCATCATCATCATCATCATCATCATTGCATCTGTCCTCTTTCTCTATTTCTCATCAATAAGTCTTTGAAAATTTTAACAGCTGTCTTAATTATTTCTACTGAATATGTTAGATCATCATTTTATGTGATTTTTTTTTGGCATCAAACAATACAAATAACAGTTTGAAATGTTGTTAATATACATATATATTCAAATGTCGAGGTGGTAGAATGTTCATATTAGAAGTAATAAAACAAGCGTATAAAATGAGAAGTAAAAGAAACAAAAAAAAAAAAATCGAACGATTAAGGCGTGAATAAACCCTTTGAGGACAATTTTGCACATTACTACCAGCTTGCATATCTATAAAACAAAAAAAAAACATTTGTTTTCTCTATATCACCTCAATCAACAATGTGAGAAAAGATTAGTTTGAGAAGATGAACATCAAATATTGTTGTATTATTTTTATACAATTGATCAATATCACGTCATAATCACCTTCGTATAACTATTTAATTTAATTGTGTGATAACATCATGATGTGTATATATATATATAATTTTGTTAGATAAGAAAAAAACATAGATATGTATATATACAAAGAGACTATGAATGTTTAAATATAAAATCTGAATAATAAAAGATAGAATATTAAACTTATTGATAAAGGTCTATTTAACTTAAATTTTCGATTATTTCTATTCTTAAATTATTCAAAACGGGAATTCAATTCGATTTACTTTGTCTGTTGATCATAATGATTTTTTGATTTAATCCACACTTTCTTTCTTTTTTTTTTTTTTCTTATGTGTTATACTATTTAATGATTAAATAATCAGTTGCATATGCAATGAGTTCTTGCATGTAATTCAGTAAGATATTAAAACGAATAAAAGAAAAAGAAAAGTATGAATATAGGTCAATGATGAATTTTAATATTAATGAAATGTAGAAATAAAATATGAAGAAGAAAAAAAAACTGAATAGTTCAATCAAAAGATTGATTTGATTATAGGATTCATATTTATTTTTTATTTAAAAAAAAATATATATATATATCGATATTGATATTGATGTGTGTCTTATAATCAAAAATATTGATCGATCGTTTTGATCGCGTGCAATATTAATTGATAGGCAGATCGATCGTTCTCCTTGTATTGATCATGTTTAATTATATATATATATATATATGTATATATAAAGAATAAACCATATCCATATAGTTTATACTGAAGGACTTGAGTTTTCAATCTTTAACCTTAAAGATTTGAAAATTAATAGTGTATTTATAATTACATTAAGCTCAATTAGTGTTGTTAACAGACGATCGTTGTTGGTATTTCTCAATGCTCTATGGTCTTGAGGGAAATTTATGAAATATAATATCAATCATATTTATTATTACGTTTTTATTTCTTTTCGTGGTAGGACGAAAACGATCAATAATAGAGCACCGCCCAGTCTAGTCCATCCTTGATTACACTACTAAGCTTAATAGATATTTATAAATATATAATAATAATGCATTTTAATTAAATGACTTTTTTTTCCAGAAAATAGCGTCATCTGTCCTTGCTTCTTAAATCGTTGTTTCCGATTGCATATGTGCAAAATATGTGTCATAAATTTCGTAATAGTTTTCAGCTGTTTAAAAATTCAAGAATGTTTTCTCTACATTTATTATTTAAAAAAATAATTTATGATTATTAGAAGTTAGTCGAAAAAAAAACCAACATGTTAGCTAGCCTGAGATAATCATAATCAAGACGAAGAAGAAGAAGAAGAATATAAAATTTTGTTAATTATTTAAATCTATAAATTACACATTGTAATAAAACGTGTAAATTATATATATATATATAATTTGTTTTTAGATTGAGAAATAAAATATCAATAATGAATATCGATCATCGAGTTATAGCTTTAATTGATATGGATTGTTTTTATGTGCAAGTTGAACAAAGACTTCAACCTGAATTTCTTGGTAAACCATGTGGTGTTTCACAATATTATACTTGGAAAGGAGGTGGGTAAGTGTGTGATTGATTTTTGTTTGTTTGTTTGTTTTTGAAGAAAAAGAAAGCGTAAATGTATTGTTTAGTCTTATTGCTGTTAATTATGAAGCTCGAGATTTTGGTGTTAAACGAGGTAAATGAAATTCTTTTATTGCTGTAATATGAATAAGCAAATATGAAATTGAATATAGGTATGCGAGGTGAACAAGCAAAAGAACTTTGTCCAGATTTTCATATATTTCATGTTCAAGAAGTTAATGGAAAAGCTAATTTAAATAGGTAAGAATATTTTATTTTTGGTATTTAATATTCAAAGAATTCGATCTAATACGAATATAAACAACGAGAAAGTGATATTCGATAATTGTTCGTATTTGACAATCCGGATTAATTAATAAAACTAGACATATTGAAGTCTAATTAAGATTAGTCCCTTCCCATCCTTTCATAACCTAAAATTCTTGTTTTGTTTGTGGCTGTTATACAGTTTGTAGTAGTATCTATCTATTGAATACATTTTGGGATCCAAAAATTATCTTTAAATGTTACAAAAAATATAATTTACGTGACAAAAATTGTATATCATTTCGCATTTTTCCAGGAAAAAAGACGTACAGAAACAGCTCTGATTCTTCAGCCTAGTACATCCGATCGAGCTGAAACTATTTTCACATACACTATACACTGTTCATAATGGATTTTTGTTTTTTTGTGTTTCAAGAAGCATTGTTCTGTTAATTTTTAGTAGCTCTTTTCAAAAAAAACATGTATTTTTCTAAAGGGTCTCTTCGATATTTTGACTTTTGTATTAGAAAAACAAAAATATACTTACCATAAAACAGTGTCTAGTGCTTACAAAAAAAAAAAAATCTTCAGCTCGATCGAATATAGCATTCTCGAAGAAACGGAAGCGAAAATTAAAGCCATGATAATCCCAGTATCTCATAGAAGACAGCATCCGGAATAACAATTTTTGCTCTACTCGTCACGATCGATGTGCCCTTGGAATTTCCAATTTTTTTTGATGAGTCTTGTAAATACTTTAAAATTCAAATATCTCAGTCCGTGCATGCCAATGTCATCATATATTATAAATTTGCTAGTTTAGTGGTGAAATCTTTAATTTAACCCGAATATATCTAATCTTATTAACTAACAACGTTTACATTTTGTTGTTTTTGTTATTATCTATTGACGTTGTATTTCATTAAAGAGTTTCCTTCCCTCTCAAGAAAAAGAAATTCAAGATTTAAATAAAATTTTTTTTTTCGCTTTTTTAAAGATATCGAGATGCAAGTGCTGATGTATTTCGTGTATTAAATGCAAATTTTAAACTTGTTGAAAAAGCAAGTATTGATGAAGCTTATATTGATTTAACAGAAGATGTTCAAAAATTAAAAGATAAAAAACTTCAATTAACAATAAATGATTTTTCAACAACACATTTAGCTGGTTGTACAACTAAAATTGAAGATGAACGAATAGAAATTTTAAATAAATGGTTAAATGATTGTCAATTAGATGATGAAAAACGTAATTATGATCTTTTACTTGGTGCTTATCTTATTGAGCAAATTCGAAAAAAAATAAAAGATCAAACAGGATTTTTTTGTTCAGCTGGTATTGCTCGAAATAAAGTAAATAAATACCTTTTTTTTTTTTGTTGTTTTAAAAATCAAAAACAAAAAAAATTTCTTTTGTTTTCTTAGATTTTAGCTAAATTATGTTGTGGATTTAATAAACCTAAAAAACAAACAATTTTTACACAATCAGATATCGATCATATATTTGATAAAACACCAGTACAAAAAATGTATGAAAATATTATTATTAAAAATTTTTATTGTTGATTTTCTTTTTTCTTAGTCAAGGTCTAGGTGGTAAAGCAGGTGAACGTGTTGTGGAATTATTTCAAGTTGAATATATAGGTCAATTAAGAAAATATTCACTTGATATGTTACAAACATCAATGGGTGAAAAAGATGGTTGTTGGTTATTTAATTTAATTCGTGGTATTGAAACAACACCTGTTAATAATAGAAATTTATATAAATCAATATCTGCAAGTAAAAATTTTCCAGGAAAAACATGTTTAGATACTATTGATAAAGTAAGAAATGAATTTAATTCGATTTCAATAATTGAATCTTTTTTTTTTTTATTTAGATTCGTACTTGGTGTCATCATTTAGCTGAAGATGTTTTTAATCGTTTAGAAAAAGATCGTGCAGAAGTAAGATATAATTATATTGAAATTTAATTTTACTAATGAATTATCGAAAAATAACTAAATGATTGTTATGAAACTTTTGTTTCTTATATCATTTTGTAGAGAATATTTTCACTTTTAATCCTATACAAAAAAAACAAATCCCGGTAATATAATGTGCATGTTTAAATTCAATATTGACAAATTTCTACAGGACTTTTTAATAGATTGAAAAATAAACAAAAGTTTTGTTGGATTACTTTTTGAAGGATGTAGAATTAGATTTCATGTACTAATTAATTGGTTTTTTTATTATTATTGAGAAATGAATGATTACTTTTGTAAGATTGAATGAGATATTCCAATTCGCACTTGTGATTGATGAATTGTTATCGATGTACTATTCTAATGTCTGGTTGTTGTATGAAGGAATCACTTGAATTAATTCAAGGCTTTTTGATTCCGTATTTTACTAATGAGTAGAGAAGTTCTTCACGGAAAAAAAAGAGATGAGTCCATGTTGAATTTAAGCTGAGATATAGAAGTTTCAATTTGATTTTTTTTTGTAAAATTTTAGCTCGTGTTAAAAAGAAATCCTAGAATTTTTAGACTTAGCAACATTGAGATTTTAGATTTATAAAAGATCTACATGATACAACGTTCAAAATTTCTAAAATGTTTTTTATAAAAGTTAGTTCAATTGAATTATTGATACGAATAAACTTCCAAGTAAAAATTCTATCTTTCAGTCAAGTTGCAACATGAGTTCATTTCTTCTTAGAATTTTTCTTGTCTACGGGTACTATACTTATAGATAAAATATTGAATCAAAATCTTTGAATCATTTCGGATAGTTCTCTCATCAAAAAACTTCTATCATTGTACTAAATATCTTGAATGACCTTTCGACATAATGAAGTTTGATACAATTCTTAATTATCTATAAATCGGAACGGACTTGCGCTTTTAATGAGTTCATAACATATATTAATTTGACGAACATGTCGATCAAAGTTAAACTCTGTTTATCATCATGAAATTATACTCTAAATTGAAAATTTCAATAGTATGCCTCTCTAAAGTGTTTGATTTGCTTGACACTACTTAGATTGACTATCATTTTCAAAAAATAAAAATCAATGATTTCAAATATTCTTTTAAAATATTCTTGTTCATTAATGATAAATTTCTATTCTCAAAATGAATTATTTTCTTTTATTAGAATAAACGTCGTGCTAAACTTTTAACAGTAATATGTACATTAGCTACAAATGAAACAATAACTCGTTCATGTCCTATAAATGAATATTCTATTGATAGATTTGCTAATGATACTTTACGAATATTAAAACAATATAATAAAAATTCTTTAACATCAAATATTTTTACACCAGTTATTCATCATATTGGTATAAGTGCTGGAAAATTTCTTGATAATATTAATACAAAATCTATAGCTGATTTATTTTCAAAACAAACAACTAAAATTGAAACAATAATATCAACTGAAAATATAATCAATTGTCAAGAAGAAGAAGAAGAAGAAGACGATAACGAAGAAGATAATAATACTGAAGAAAACATTCTAGAAAAACCAACATTACCAATTCAAGGTGATTTTTTTCGAAAATTTCAAAAATCTGATGAACAAACGAAAATTCAATTAAAATCTGAAAATAAAACAACAACATCATCATCATCAATTACATCATTTTTTTCTCGTTATACATCAAATGAAAATATTCTAAATTGTTCACCGAATAAAATCGATGATCATTATATAACTTGTTCAAAATGTCATAAATCTATTTTAATATGGAATATGCCTGAACATGAAGATTTTCATTATGCACATGAATTACAAATAGAAGAAAATAAAACAAATTCAATAATAAAATCATCAAAAACAATTAAACGTAAAAATACTAATCAAACACTTGATTCATTTATAAACAAAAAATCGAAAATTTAATTATATTTTTCTTTATATATTGTATCAATGCATATATATATATATACACATAGATTATTAAAATATTTGTATTCTATTTTTTTTTTCTTATTATTCTAGATTTTTATATAAATCTATGTATCGAATACTATTTAATTATTATTTTCTTAATTATTATTATGACAATATCAATTTTGGATTTACCCAATGAGATTTTAATTGATATTTTTTGTCGATATGTATCTATTAAAGATTTATGTCGATTGAAACAAGTCTGTCGAACATTTTATATTAAACTTAATAATTATACTTTACCATGGAAAAAAGCACTTACAAGATTAACAAATGTATCATTTTCACAATTGAAAAATGCAGCTGGATGTCCATCATTTGAGGTGAAATAGATTTAACTTCTTTTTTTATTTTTTCTAAAATATTTATGATATTTTTTTTATTTACAGTAGATAAAGTAATAATGGAAAGTAGATATATTTTATGTATGATAAATTTGATTAAATAATAAATCATTTTTGAGATAAAAGAAAAGTTAAAAAAATTCGTGTGGATGAGTTTTTCTTCTTGAATTATGTTTATTTTTCAATAAAATGCTGTGATCTTCTTCATGTCATCTTCTATATAGAATTTTGTGTTCAAAGATTGCACAAAAAAAAAAAGTTTTCAATGAGATTAATTCATTAGAAAAATGTTAGATTTGATAATATTTCCTATTCTTAAATACTAATTTTGAAAGTTCAATGATGTGAAAAAGTCTTTATCATTTGGTGAGGTTCTTCTATTAATATCAAAAAGTCTTTTCTGATAATAAATTATAAGAATAAATATCTTGTTTTAGAACATTCGTCATGATTCAACAATCTTATCTCATCCACTCCATCTTCCAGCTGATTATCACTATGAAACTTTATATGATCGTTCAAATGATTTTCCTCATTTACTTTCAAATGATTATCGTCCATCATTAAATGATTTAAATCTTTGTTCAAAATTCGATTGTGATATAAATCGTACTATTAATAATTATTATTATTTAATATCATTAGCATATAAATGGAATAAACAAAATAATATAAATAATATATTAATAAAATTTATTCGTCGTGCTCAAACATCATTACTTCAATATGATGAACATAATCATCAACTTTGGTTTACATTTGATAATACATTACGTTGTTTAAATTTACATACAAATCATATTGATTATTCACATAGATTTAATCATGATGATATACTTTGTTATAAAATTTATAATGATCATTTAATTTGTTTAGCTAATGGAGATTTATTAAGAATAATATGTCGACGAACAAATGAAATTTATTCATGTTATAATAATCAAAATTTACAACATATATTACCTGGTGAACGTCATGATATACTTTCATTAGATATTTATTCAAATGATAAAGAAAGATATTTAATATTAAATGGTTCACGTGATCATACTGTTTCGAGTAAGTTTAAAAGAAGAAAATAAATTTTTATAGTAGTTAGCAAAAGTCTCCGATTTCTTTTTAATTTCATAATTCGGAAAAATAAAGAACTTTGTGAATTCTTAATGTAGTATGTGCACACACAACTTTCAGACATAGCAATTAAAATACGAGGAATGAGAGACTTTTGTCTATAACCATTATCTCGTTTTTACAATTATTTAATTTTTAAGTGAGAACATTTGATATGTCAAGACAATTTAATCAACTTATATGGCGTACACAAGTTGATGATCGTGTTTTATGTAGTCGTTTTACAAATGATGGACAATATTTTCTTATTGGTACCGGTGGTACATCAAGTCTTTATCCATTAATATTATTTAATATAGAACGTGCTCAACCAATACATGTAATGTTTATTTTTTGAAATAAAAAATTTTCAATGAAAAGAACATTTTGTTTTTTTTTGTTTTAATATTTAGCTTTATAATGCTAGATATCGTCTTGGTGCTGGTGTTCGTTGTATTGAATGGGTATCATCAAATGTATTTATTGCAGCTGGTTTTGATAGTCAATTTAAAGAATTTGATATACGTACAGGACAATGTCATTATACATTTAATGATGAATTTGGTAATGATTATTGTTCATTAGCTGTATCAGTTGATAATAATTATATTTCAAATGGAATAATTCTTGGTGGTAATCATCATTCAACAGTACGTCTTGTTAATCGAACACAACGTCAATTACAAAATGTTTTATTTGTCTCAAAACAATCTAGTCCAGTACATAGTTTAGCTGTTACATCAGAATATTTATTTGCATCTGTTGATCGATCAATTGTTGCATTAGATTTTACAGGATGTAATAGACAATTACAACAAATTCATCTCAAATTTTGATGAAAAAAAAAATTGTGATTAGAGAAAATTTATTATTTTTTTCTATTTAAATATATATATATATATATATTATTTTTTTTTCTTATTGAAATATAATAAACTTGAACTATTTTGAAAAAATAATCAGGAAATAATAAGCATAAATTTTATTTTATTAAACATATAAAAATAGATTTAATTAGTTTTCTTTTGAAATTATGAATATAAAGTATATGTTGATATGTTCATGTACTTGAAAAATATGAGTTTTTGATCACGCAATCCAGAATTCTTTATGGGACTTTCATTTTATATATTTAATCTATTTATTTGAAAGAGCATATCAAGATGCAGGACATGATAGAGTCCCTTAATCTTTATTACTATTACTTAGGGTTATCCAAAAGTAGTGAGCCAGGTTCTTTTTTTTCTTATAAATAGCTTTGAAAAAAAATCCTTTTTTACCAATAGATAAAGCATCTTTCGCTCTATTTTTCTATGCCATTTGAGCACTATTCAACTGGTATCATAATAATCAAATTTCGATAAGAACTTTTTTTGTGTAACTCCAGTTGGTAGCAATAGTGCATATTATCATCCATGAGTTTTTTCTTTGTTTTTTTTTCTCATTACCTAATACGTTTTATTAAAAACCAGAATACACCACAAGATGCAGCGTAAAAAGCTCTACAATTTACATACGACCGCTTTTTTTAATAGTCGCATGTTTTGTTTCCAAAATGGACAAAACTTTGAGCGACCAAATTTTGACCGTGCGAAAATTGGTAGCATAGAATTTTGCTTTTTTTGAAAACAATTACAATAAGCTTTACTGTGTAAATTGTAGAGCTTTTCACGCTGCGTCTTGTGGTATATCTCGTTTTTAATAAAACGTATTAGATGATAAAAAGATGAAATAAGAAAAAAGAAATTTCTTTTTTGTGTGGAAAAAAATGACTTTTTCGCAACGGCGAAAATTGGTCGAACAAAATTTTGCTTTTTTTGAAAACAAAAAGTACACAACTAAAATAAACTGTTTTTGTAAATTGTAGAACTTTTCACGCTGCATCTTGTGGTGTATTCTGTTTTTTGATAAAACCTATTAGATGATGAAAAACCGCATAGATGATAATATGCACTATTGCTACCAAGTGGAGTTACACAAAAAAAGTTCTTATCGAAATTTTATTATTATGATACCAGTTGAATAGTGCTCAAATAGCATAGAAAAATAGAGCGAAAGATGCTTTATCTATTGGTAAAAAAGGATTTTTTTTCAAAGCTATTTATAAGAAAAAAAAGAAGCTGGCTCACTACTTTTGGATAACCCTAAGTATATAAAAGAGTAGTTTTTATAATTAGAAAACCATTTTTGGAAGTTTTTCCAATTAAAAAGGAAGAATTAGAAAAAAAGAACTCTGTCATGCTCTTTCAAATAAAAAGAAAAGGATTAAATATATAGAATAAAAGTTCACAGAGAATTTTGAGTTATCAAATAAGTTATTTTCGACTCTTGTTTGTTGAATATCTTCCGAAAACGTCATAGTATAGAGTTGAAAATTTCATATGACTTGAATATATCTGGCACAAGATCCGTTCTTGAAGGGAAGTGATGGCCTTAATCGATTGTATTTTCAAGAGAGTTATATTTTACTTTTGATCATTGATATGATGAGTTGTTCCACTTTTCTGCGTCTCACTCATGATGCTTTTGTTTTTCTCATGATTGGTAATTTGGACACTCGTCATTCTGATACTTTTTGTTTTATGTATTGAGACTAGAGAGAGACAATTATAAAGTATGATTGTAAAGGTGTGAATTGTATCGCTGTAGAATATACATCTCTATATTATATATAATTAAGAGAGAATTCATTTTATTTATTAATACTAATTATCTGATATCGAGCTAGTCGAATATAAAGGCTATCTCAAGCGTGAATGACAGCTCTATCAAATATATCAAAAGATAGAAAAAAAAAACATTTGTTTTGTTATTGAATTTTATTGTTAGTATTATTCTCATCAGCAAATAAAACTACCTAAATTATGTTAATATAGACGTGAAATTTTGTTTCAATACATAAATTGTTTTATTTTATTTAGTTGGAAACTGTCAATGTGGTACTAGATGCCAAATGGAGAGATGCAAACATAATTGTAAATCCGGTCATCATAAATATTGATAGGCTAAAATAAGTTTTTTTTCTTTATTTGATCTCATAGATAAAGGCATCAGTTGTAGCTCGAAACATTCTTCTAATGCCTGCCGTTGTTCAGGATGTAAATGAAATTTAAAGAGAAAAAGAAAATTTTTCTTTTAATTTTTCTTCATATTTATTATATAAATAATTTAAATCAAACAAAATATAAAAAGTATAGAATACATTTTTGTTTTAAGAGATTCACTTGACACTATCCTATGTAATGTGTATCTAATGAAGAATTTAAATAAAAGACGTCGATTAGATAATCATTTACGCATGATTTCAAATGTGTTGGAGTCATTGATTTGTCAAATTGAATTCTTTTGAGTTGATATTCAATGAACTGGACATCTTTACTTGTAAAAGTTGATATATGATGACTAGACAAAATCCAACCGATCATTTTTATACTCTACTTTCAACATGTAAAGAAATGCATTTAAAGTCTCTTTTGAATCTAATTCAATAAAATA